GAATAGTAACAATAGTAATAGTAATGATAAGAATAAGAGCAGTTTGCGGTTGCGGAGTCGCTTCAAAGCTCCCAGCGCTGAGCATCAACTGATTGCCTGATTGAAGGGACTTTGATGGGAACATAATAGGAATGGACCAGGGTCCTTACATTCTGTTAAATGCCTACTGTATTCTTGGGGTTCCTGCTTTGGGGTTCCCATTAAAGTCCCTGTACTGATTGCCGGCCAGGCAGCCGATCCAAGAAATCCAAATCACCGAAGCTCTTTGGCCCACTCTCCTCCGAAAGTTGACCGAGCATCGGAAAAACGATCCCTGAGGAAATAACCCCTATATAATCCCAGTTTCCATTTCATTTTCCATTTTCTTTTCCATTTGATTCTCCATTATTGGGGTAATATTGGGTACCATAGTATCCCCAAGTCCTAAAAAACAAGTTATGGGAGCGAGCCACTCTCCGACCCCCAACAAGGCATGAGTCAAGCCTAGTCTAGCTCTTCACGAGACTTTGCTCCACTGTCAACAAGGAACTGCAGACAGCTATCTCAACTCAAGCGGGCCCTCGCCTTCGATCGCTTGCTGATCTTGACAGCTACTTGCGTACCACCCGATGCCATCGTTGCGACGTAGACCGTTCCTGCCAAAGCTGAACTAGCGTGCATTACGCAGCTGAAGCAGACAATGGCGAAGGACCAGACGCTGCTGAGCATTGGCCGCTTCGCTGACAGCTTTTCTGCAGACAAGTGGCCAAACGATCCACGCCCAACAGTTTCCTCAAACAGGTCGGGACAGGATTGATTATTAAAGTACATTATGGCATGTTATGGTATATTAGGGTATATTGTAGTCTATTATCCTCAGAATAGCTTCCATTTTCTTTTCCATTATCCCTATATGATCCCTTTTTACTGCTTTTGTAACCCCATAAAGCCCTGAACCATGAACCCCCATCCTATAGGATTGATGTGCCAAATGTGCTGTGCCAGAGGAAACCAAGATGCTCCGAGCTTCAGGGTGTCCTTGACCTTGTCGTCGTCCACTACCTTGCAACGGCCACCGTGCTGAACGATCGGCAACAAAGGACAACATGGCGACTCATCACAGTCCGATCCAGCTGTACCCCCAACACCGTAGAGGCCTCTTGCATTGGACCCCCCAAAGAAGGATTCATATTACTGCGCGGTTCGCACTGCCATCGCCAACGCATTCAGTGACGCTCTCAGGCCACCACCTGTAACAAACCCTGAGCCGGCCCTGCCATGGCGGTGAGAAGGACTGCCACAACCATTGCCCCGCCATCACAGATGCTCTCGCCACCTTACAGCAAGCGTTCAGTTTGTACACACGCGCGCACACACACATCACATGCTGCGCGAAATCTGGGACAGCTGCAGTCATTGATGAATCCACCATAGCAGGGCGTGCTCTTCCTTGGTTTTATAAATTTGAAAGGTCGTTTTGAAAAGCCTCGTGGTTGGGGTAGGTAATGGTGGCTTTACAGTTGGCCTCGGCTGCTGAAAAGCCCAACATGGAAAACAAATGAAGGCCGAGCTGCATGCTAGCTGTGGCCCGAGCACCTTCTTGGGCAGCCGCAGCTATAGCATCCCAGGGCACAAGAATGTCCACCTCATCGTTCCATAGCATCGAAGTCCGCAAATACATGTGGGTTTCCAAAAACTACTTTCAGGGAGGCCCTATATTAATCAAGTATATTTCAGGCTGATAGCATATTGGTGTCTATATTGCAGCCCTCTTTTTCTGGAAGCACCCACATGATCCGACATGAATAAGGTCTGAAGCAAGAAGTTTCAAAATTAAGGCCCTGCCTCGTCAGACACCATGTCCGTCTCCTCCTCTTCCTTATTGGCTTCATAATTCTACTTGGAGGCCCATTGAACTTAGCAACTACTTATAATTGGGCTTATAACCCTAGTTATAGTCCCCCTAAAAGGGCTTATAGGGGTTACCCCAATTATAAGTAGGGTTATAAGCCAAATTATAAGTAGTTACTAAGTCCCATGGGCCTTCAAGTAGAGCACGCTCACTAGATGCTTGGGGCGAGAACAAAGGAAAAAATGGCCTTTGGCATAAAGCCACGGCTCCACTTCACTGCCGACGCTGGTTTGCCGGCCTGAGCAACTTTGTGAGAATTGTAATAATTGCAATAGTAGTAACATACATTAATTGTAGAAAGAAGGATCGTAAGAAAATTACGGCTCTCCGGTCAGAAAATAGCCAGTGCTGCAAAAGATGCTATATAACCCGTATAATCCATGTAGTTTTCATGTTATTTTCCATTATCCCATTCATTCCCCAATATATGCAGCTGCGCGGCCCCAGGATGCCAAAGAGTGGCTCCAGTCACTTTCATCATCATCTTCGTCCAGTGGAAGCAGGAGCTCCCCACCTGATTCCAGGGACTTTAGGAGGGACCCATTAGGGTTTAGGGTTTAGGGTATCCCATTGCCATATATAACCCCTATATAGTCATTATATAGCCCCTATATTCCTAGGTTGTTTCCATATTAGCCTCCAGAAGCTTCAAGGGTCCCTGTTGGGGATCCTCCTACAGTCTTTAGACTGATGGGAAAGCAGAACTTTATGGAAACCAACCAATCCCATTCCCGTAAACATGCAACCCCCCAAACCCATAAACAGCATAATTTCAAAATAATGGCAACGGGAATATACATATATACATATATTATGTATCATGAGGGGATGGGGGCTTTAATCACCATGGGGTGGGATTATGCGCCCATCACGGTAGCCTTCGGCACCATCAGTCGGCCGCTTGACTGCCTCGCCCATTACGTGTAGAGCTGGCACCAATGCGTCCAGAAAGGTGCCTGAAGAACCGTAAGCCCTAAACCTTGGGTACTGCTCCCACCCAGTAACAGTCTATATGGGGGGGTCCTATTAAGGGCTATATATAACCATATTATATATATTATCCAACTGTTACCGAGGGGGGGGAGTACCCAACCTAAACCCTAAACTCTAAACCCCTAGTTGCATGCGGCACATTGACGGAAGCAGCTTTGCAACTTCCGAGAGGTCCCATCCCGGATTATATAGGGATAATGGAAAATAAAATGGAAACTACTACAGTATAATAGGGTCATATGGGGTTTATATAGGGATTATGGAAACGAAAATGGAAACCACTATAATGAGTTATATAGGGATTAGTCACAGTTAGCAATCAGAAATGACAACGCTTCCGGCTCTCACTGTGTCGTGCTTGTCTGCCGAAAATGCGGCTGATCTCAGCGAGGGCACGCTTTCCTTCTGAGCACTCGCCAACTTCTTCCACCTCACCAAGGGTACAAACATGGACAGGGCAACTGCAGCATCACCACCCCATGTTCTTGTGCCTCCCTCTCGGCAGCGCAGAAAGCATCGTAGACATCAGCTGCATTCCAGCCCATGTGGTTCAAGCAGCGCTTTCTATTCCTGCGTCATCTCAAATATCTCATGTCACAGAGCACACGGGCAGTTTTGGCACAGGCAAAGGTCCTGCGCGCTTTGGCTTTCTTTTGCTGCTTGGCACGGCGGTGTGACAAGAAGCGGCCGGCTCTGCCAAAAAAGACCGACATCAAAGCCTTGCAGAATCGTCAAATGGGGGTTTCCCAAAATTAAGGGTATAATTTTGGGGGGTCCCTATAATATAAGGATTATAGTGTTTTGGGGTATTGGGGTCCCGCTATTTAGGGAAACTATCAAATGGCATTTCATGACACAGTGGCTTAGGAAACATATCATGTCGAGTAGCTGAAAGCGTTCCGTCAACGCCCCGCATAATGTCTGCCAGCCGCAGGAACAGCAAAGCTGGACGAGCCTTGCTTGCCGCTCAGGCAGTGTGAGGCAAGTCTGCAATAGCACACTATGGTAGTATTAGGGTTATATTGGGGATGTACTGGGATAATGGAAAATGAGATGGAACTACAGGGATTATAGGGGTTATATAGCATCTTTTGCTGCAACAGCAAGGACTGAACGTGCAAAAACCAGACGAGGGGCCATGGGAAGGTGGCCGTCAGCCAAGGCACCCAAGATCAACCTCATTCTGAGACTGCTTGAAGCACTGGTCGATCAGAGCTCTCCTAAACCCTAAACCCCAAATTTCAGTAGCCCTCTCTTAGCTAACCCTTCGATGGCGGCCATCAAGACATAAGCAGCTTGGCAACTCAGGGTAACTCTCAGTGCCGTTGGGGTTGGGGTCTGGTTGCAGGTCTGCACCTCGTGGTGTGATAGGAGGTGGGGGATGGGAGCGGTGGTGAAGGGGCCAGAATTTCAAGTACCAGCAGTTACCAGCAACACGACGTATGATAACAATGCCATAAACCGTCCTGAAGCCATACTTTTTCAACAACAAATTAATCACAGCCCACAAGACGTCATTGGCATCGGCAGCTCTACTAGCATTGCATAACTTGATGACAGCTACCTGGATGGTGGTTCTCACGCCTGAACAATGACGACAATTAAACCAGCATGGCAAGCTAGACACAAAGGTCTTATGGCGCGCACCGTAGGCTACGGCTGTAGAGATCTGGACAGACCAAATATTCCGTATAATCTCTATATAACCCATTATAGTCGTTTCCGTTTTCTTTTCCATTATCCCCACATTACCCCAACACATCCCCTAGATAACCCTATACAATCCCTATTATCCCTGTAGTTTCCATTTTCGTTTCCATTGTCCCAAGATTACCCCAATATAACCCTTATATAATCCTGGTTTCCATTTCATTTTCCATTTTCTTTTCGGGGATATATAAACCAGTAATCTCAGAAACTCAGAGCAAGGATCTGTGCGGCTCTGGCCATGTTCCGACCCAAATCGCCGTCCGCGGCTGCTGCATCCAAGGCGTTCAGCTCGCGCTCGCTGTCCAGGATTGCCTTGCTTTAAGGACGACTCGCACATGGTGTCTGTGTTGCACAGAACCTCGAAGAATATTTATCAGAAACCCCAATATCATCCCCATATAACCCTATTGTAACACAGTAGTTCCCATTTTCTTTTCCATTATCCCAATATAACCCCAAGCAATGGTAAGGACCAGACTTGACAGGCACGGGTCAGCATAGCGCGAACCTCAAGGAGTGCACTCGCAAGCTTGGACTTAGGGTTTAGGGTTTAGGGTATAGTCCCCCTTAAGTAGATAGAATGCGGGGTATATGGGGATCTTAATATGACATACCCAAAGCCATATTCTATCTACTTAAAGGGGACCATAACCCCAGGTCAATGAAGGCGCCAAGCAAAACTTGTTTGGACATGGGGCCACTGGGTGCTCAGAGTCTGCGAAGCGGCTCGATGCAGATCTCCCCCGCACTGCAAGCAATGGCCGGGGATCATGTCGCCTCGGTCTGGCTTTGATCTGGGTTGCTGTTAAGGAACTTAAATTAAGTTACTATATTAGGGAAACCCTATTATTTATTATATATACCCATTATGGTAACTTAATTTAAGTTCCTTAACAGCAACCCAGTAATGTCAGTCAAGCATGTGCATTCGCACGCTTAATCTGAATCCTGGCTTGCAAGCTCAAGTACGTGAGCAATGAGTGGCGAGACCTGTGCTCACGATGTCTTAGGGGGCCAGCTGCTGCCTGTTCAAGAGTCGGGAATCTCTAAGCCAGCCCTTCTGCGTCGTCCTGTGAAAACCTTTGTCCTACCGGTTCTTGCTAGAAAATAAGGGAATATAATCAGTAGATAATCCTAAATATCTTATTCCCATGATCCCTACTAACCCTTGACCCTAAATCCCTACCTAACATATTCCAAGATTCCCTACTAAGAGTAAGCAAGTTGTTCGGCAAAGCTGCTTGACGATCTGAGGATTCCGTGGGATTACCGCGGCCTTGCCAGCGGTGCAAGGCAGAAGCTGTCACATCCCAAAGCCCAGCGCCACGCAACGACTACATTCCATTGGATTCGTGTTCAAGTACTATTAAAAACAAAATCACGTGGCCCAGGTATACATAAAAATGCAAAATGTGGTTCAACAAGAACCCAGTCTATATTATATGCTATATATCACATATTGTAGATCGTGTCTAACATATTGCGCGTTCCTTGCCATGCTCATGTTACCTCCAACTTGCCTTCCAGCCAGTGCAGTCTGTCGGAGCCAGCAGCCGCTTGGCTCGCTGTGAAGGCTCAGGGTTCTCACAGTCACACGCCTGCAGCGGGAACCTCATAGCCCCTTCTGCATTCCTTATATTGGGGTACTATTGGGCTACTATATTGGGGACAATGGAAAATGAAATGGAAACTATTATAATGGGAACACGCATCATGAGGCAACGCCAGAGGGCGAAAACAAGAGTGAGTGGAAAACCGCTGGTATAAAGACTGGTGGGAAGGGGATACTTGGGTTCAGCCTCCGCATCCTCGTCCAGAGACTCATCCTCCTCAGCCTGCCCCTCTTCCGGAATATCCGGAAAACGAACTTCGCTTGCCTTTGCGCTGGTCTCGGCAGCCCCGGTGTCGATGCACTGGCTTTGCGCATCAGGACAGTCGCACTGCTCAGGCAAAAAGATCTGCACGAAGGAATCTTTTGTTTCCTGAACTGCAGGGGTCCGCTACACACGTCAACGTTCCTCAGAATTCGGGGAGCAAACAAACTAAAAAAGGACTAAAAGCAAACAAGATTTGATGAATCCCGTGCAGAAGGGTGCACCTTCACGAACTCGTGGGAAAAAGCTGCTCTTTGCGTCGGGGCGCCGGAGTCTCATCACGGAAGTGGACGCTTTTGGAGCGCCTTCTTCCAGTTCCTTAGCAGGACCAAAGCTCAAAACAGGCACAGGGTCCGCAAAATCTCAAGGCTCCAGCGCCATGCAGCGCTGAACTCTTGCACATTATATACCCTATACATATATATATATACCCATTATGGTAACTTCATCAGTTACATCTGGCAAAGGCAGTGAAGTGCTGGCGTGCGGCCGTCTGCGGACTGCCCAGCTTGGTCGACTTGGTCATCTCGCCGTCTGTCCAGGGCAAGACTTGTTCCACAAGTATTGCAGTCCGGATCCTCCAGTGGCAGAACGCCTCAGCTGCAAGTGACGCTCCTTTAGCACATAATCAAACAGCCAAACGTCGTTGTTGTCTCCTGCACACCCATGACGGGAGACCGAATAAATGCTGAACTTGCTTGTGGCTTTCTAGCAGTCGTACCACGCCCATAGCGGAAAGCTTTGCCTGTTCGTGAAAGGCAAACAGAAGTCTGCATACAAGTTTCTGATGGATATGCCATTCGTGTCTAGGGCTGTCATCAGATGTGCGGGACCGATCCTCAGCAATTGAGACTCTCAATCACATCGTGATGGCGGCCGTGTCCCTAGCAGCTCCTAGCAGCGTGTTTGCAAGTATTTCGAGGCACCAGCCAATCGTCTAAAATCCTAGAAGGTTCCGACTGCACAAAAGCTCTGCATGCTTTGCTATAGGGCCCAGAAAGGGATGCCAAGAAGCAGAAGCTTGATCCGGCGGCCGAGCTCTGAGTTCATGACCTGGCCCGCAACAAGCTGCATCTCGATCTCCGGAACAGATCCTGGGGTCCCATCAGCAGCAGGAAAAGCCAAGCTCAGCCACGGCATGGCACAGCACAACTGCCAGCTTAGGCGCCAAGATTGTTGAGCATGACGCACAGCGGCACTTTTCGAGGGACGTGGATTGCAAGCTGAGACATGATGGTCTCCACAATCTCCTGGCATGCGATCATCATCCACACTAGACACGCTGGCGCGAGCCTATGAACCCAGCATGTCAGGAGGAAGGCCTTCGCGGTTGTGCTAGATGTAGCCTTCACGCGAAGGCCGGGTTCACCATGGATGCCCAAGCCCACCTCCATCTCGTCTGCAGGTATAGGTCTTCCCTTGGTGAGGGGAAGAAATCATTTATGGGGGGGGGAGATTTTCTCATGGAAGTTGCACAAAACAACATACGACCTGTTCCTACCAAGGCTGGTGCAGGAAGCATTCCCGGAATGCTGCAGGAGTTGAAGCTGACCTGGACTGAAACTCCCCTGTTTAAGAGCATCGCAAGTAGGAAACAGACCTTGTATGCACAGGACTGGGCCAGAAAAGCTGAGACCAGCCACCCCCTGCGTCCGGACCGCTGCTGCAGCGGCTGCTGTTTCCTCATACACCTGACTGCTGCGGCACGCGAACACATGCTGTGACCTTCAAGACACTAACCAGAACGGCATCCAGCTTCCGACTCTGCAACCTTGCACCACATTTCGCTCGTGGGCCCATGAGGCCTCATCCAGCGAAAGGCCTGCTGCCGCTGCAGCACCAGCTATTTTGCAAATCAGCAAAGAGCCTCGGGCTGCAAAGAACTCAGGAATACTCAGGACATCCAGGCTCAATCATGCACGGCTGGAAGTAGCTTGCTCAGGCCAACGCCTGCAATGCCTCTTGCAGGCGCAAAGTCGGCATGGGAACCATACCTGTCCGAAACGAGGCGGCGAATGCCGGCGAATGAGTCCCATCTCGCTCGCTTCGTTAGTCCGGTTTGGCTTGACCACACAAAGGAAATCCCCAAGAAAAAATGTCCTGCAGCCGAAGACTACCACTGGCATGCTTCAAGCAAAGTTTGACCCGATGATAACTGGCAATAACGGAGAATCAAATGGAAAATCAAATGGAGCATGGCGTGGAAACTGTTTTGCTTGAGGAAATCCTTGGCGCACCATTGCTGGGCACACCATTGGTGTACAAGGAGTTTAAATCGGTGATGCGGTGCCTATTAACCTACACTCCAGAATGAGTTGGTGTGGGAAGGGTCAATCACAAAGCGATGCTTCTCAAAGTAATGAAAACACCCGGTGCTGTGTCCACACGGGGTCCAGTTGGACCCACAATGCACCATTGAATCATATCGAACCCCGCTTTGACATCTTATGGTGGACCCCAAGATGGGGACCTCGAAGTTGGAGACATGGGGTCATAGGGGATATACTGGGCATATATAAGGAAAAGAAAATGTAAACTATAGGGATTATAGAGGGTATATAGGGTGTGTATATATATATATATGTTTCTGTGTGTGGTTTGTGATGCCCCCTGTGCAGGCCTCTTGCTGGTGGCAACGTCGTCGGACACGCAAACCACCTTGACCCGCAAATGGAGACGACTCCTGGGCCATGGGTCAGGCGAGAGCTTTGCCACGCAAACACCCTGAACCCTGGCCCTGAACCCTAAACCCTTGAGAATCACCAGCGCGGCAGCTGCAGGAGTTAATTGTAGCACTACTCTAAGGTTTGAACCATGGGCCGCTAGTATGTATTCTTTGTTTTTTTGTGGACCTTTTTCCTTCGGCTGTTAGCATGGGTTTAGGGTTTTGGATTTAGGGTTTAGGGTTGAGGGTTTAGGTGGGCCTTTAATCCTCAAGTCCCTACATACTGTGTATCATCCCTATAAAACCCCACAAGCCCGATTGAGAGCCCATAGTTCGGACATAGGACACAGGTAGACGCCGATGTTAGGGGCATGGTTGAAACCTTGGAACTACTAACACGGCAGAGTACTGCTGACCGTACCTGCATTGACGGGCAGGACATACTGTCAAGGACATGACTTGCTTTGGCGACGAAGTCGCAGTATGTCTACATCATACAGAGGGATTGAACTTTGCTGTCTGAGTTGCTGGACTTCCCGTACTGCTGACCTGAAATTCAGCCGCGTTCCTGGCATGGGCTTTTGACAGCACGATTTCTCTGGACATCTGCTGGGCAGTATGTGCTCAAAACATAATCGCTATGCATGTGCACTTGTATATATGGTGGACTACCATAGCAGCAACGATGCAATAAAGAAAAGGTGCCTTTATGACAGTTCACATTTGGCGCCTGCATTCGATCTGACGACCACGATCGCGCCAGCGCTACCCGTGATGGCCTTTTGACGGGAGCTTAATGCAGCTGACTGCTTAAGATGCAAGTGGGAAAATACGATCTTTCAAGCAAGCAGTTTTCAGTCTTAGTTACCCTGATAAACTTGTCCGCATGTTTTACGTAGATTGGAGGAACGAGGGCAGGGCAGGCTCCGGCCTCTATGCCTCTGCATCATGACGACCGATCTCTACAGCAGCAGAAGGCGGCAATGCAAGTGGCGCTTAGAGGTCTGCCGGGTCTATCATTCACTGCGCCTTCCTGGCAACAATCTCACACTCTCTTGCCGTTGCACCTCGAGCGCGCGTGCCACCGCATAAGCGGAAGGCGAGGCAAAAATTTCGCCACAAACCACGGCAGTGAGCATCCCGTCGCCGATCCTTGCAATCATAAACTGCACGTTCAGGAGAAGCGGTTGAGTTTAGATTTCAGATGATCAACCCTTGTTCTTCCATCACTCTGCTCTCCTGGCGTGCGCTGCAGGACTTAGTCCGGGAGACTTGCTACTCCCGAGCTTCTCCTATACAAGGAACAAGAAGCAACGTAATTACTCCGCAGGCTCATGGCTGTCGGAGTGCTAGGCCCACTACTGCCAGAATGGGTACGCAGTGCTATAGGTTGCAGACGTTGAGGCTATTGGCAGCTTCAGGTTTTTGTGGCATTGTTTGTCAAACATGTCGCAAGCTGTTGGCATGCTTTTCTACTTTCCATACACTGATCTTTGTTGACAATTGCAAGGCTTGTTTGCCTTGCATGTTTTGGTGGTACAAGTAGGGATTGAGTTAAACGGAAGGCGAGAAGGAAGGCGAAGGCTGAAACCCCAGCCAGTTTGCACGCAAGCGCGTGACAGAAGACAACCCCATCAAGACCCCGAGTGCTCAAAATGATCGCCACCTTCTTCGGTGTTCCTAGCTTGGAGGGACACCCCAACTTTGGTTCCCTCTTTTATATCCCCAATACGACCCCAAAAACGGCACCTCCCATGTTTTGGGAAGCCAAACCCTAAGGCATATATACATATATGTATATGTATATATATATATATGTATACCCTATTATAACAGTGTAGTTTCCATGTTCTTTTCCATGATCCCTATATAACCCCAATATATACCCTATATAAACCTATAATCCCTATATAATCCCTGTAGTTTCCATTTTCTTTTCCACTATCCCCAACCCTAAACCCTAAACCCTAAACCCTAAACTTACCCTAAACCTTTGTATCAGCAGGGCTCATCCCGGCATCTGCGGGCTCATGGCCGGAACCTCCCCCAGAAAGCACAGCAACGCGGCCACACTCGCGGGACCAGGAGGACGACACCAGCACTTTCACCTTCCAGAAACTGGGGCTGGGTTGGCCCCTAAAACGACTTGAAAAATGTTAGTATATAGGGTCCCCTTTTAAAGCCACTAGGGAAAACATCAAATATCCCAGAAGCCTACCCAGGGGGAGGCAGACTAGAGCAAAACAATAACGATGTGATCCATAGGTAAATGCAGTCGCAAAATGGAAAACCCCACAACACTTGCCCTACATCCTCTAACTCTACGAAGTAGCATGTCTTCAGTCACTGTGGCGCACCACACGGCTGACTGGCTGACCTGTCGGTAGCTCAAAACACCTCATAGAAACCGATCCCACATACGTGTATATGCATATGTAGTTGTACACACCTTGGGGTCCCTGGAGCCTCCAATTTGGGGAAACTTTCATGTTTCAACTGGCCCGCGCTCGTCACGCCTGCTGCGGAACTTCTAATGTCAAGGAAGGCAGGCCTCAGGGTATCCCTCCAGGAGCTGCACATTGGGGTGCGTCCAAAGGTATCCTGAGAATGGATGCCAGCAGCTTTTGCAAGTCATGGCTCTGCTGCAGCTGAGGCCACCCTCCAGCGCATCAGCCACAACTTCGCGTGGGTGATTCACGAAACGCTTCAAAGGCAAAGAGCCAGCAGTCCTCAGCAGAATCAAGCAGGCTGCCATGCGATGCGGCACACAAGCAATGAAGGACCAGGAGAGGATTCTAGCAAAAGTGCACGAAGAACACTTGCCAACAATCTGCCAATGCATTTCTTCAGCCCTAATTCCCGTTCAGACAAAGGCGGAAACTGCTGTCAGCCATGTCTCTGTCCCATGCTCAAGTAAGACGGCTCAGCAGCATTGCGCTGTGTCAACTGCTCTACATTCTATCTCGAGTGGCCTGGGTTATGAAATGTCGCACGTGGTTGGCGTGATTGCACGTGGTAGTACAAGTTGAGGTTGACGGTCCAAACAGAGCTGGATGATACATCTCTAGGTTTTTTATGCTCCTTGTCAAATTTGCTGCTCACCTCGTATCTTCACATGTCATGTCTCTATGAAGCCTGAGCAGCGAGCATGCGCAAGCATGCGAGGCAAGGAACATGCGAAGCTGACATAAGCAGCTGCGATGCGTTGCACTGCCATCAGATGGCTTTGAAGCCATCTGACGCAACATCCTAATCTGGCTCCAATTTCATTATAGAGAAGGAGTCTAAACGAGCTCCATGGGGATGATTAGGGTTGCATGCTACAAGCAGTGTCCTGCGGATGGCGGGGTTGAACAGCATGTGACCCTGCCCCTGGGAATGAGGAGGTTTTCCAAAGCAGTTTGCCAGCTTGCCCCCCCCAAATCCTTGAAACATCTCAACCCTTCTGCATCTAAACTTGAACCCTAATCCTTAAACCCTAAACCTAAACCCTAACAGGATCCCTGGTGAACCAACCATGATGTTAAACCCGAAGCTTGCGAAGCTCGCCTGCTGCGCTGCTAAACCCTCTGGCGTTCTACAGCTGCTATGAGGGTTTTTACAGGGATTATATGAGCGCTATATAACAAGAAAAAAATATGTACATATATATATATATGCATATATATATACATGCTCATATATATATATATACATACATAGGGCTATATAGGGTTCATGAGGGTCTTTATAGGGACTTGAGAGTGGGAAAGAAATTGAAACTACTATTCGCTCATGACGAAAGATGTCCGGAAACCTGTTGCTTGGGACGTCACAGGATCGCACTGGTCTGCACCCGCACATGCCTTTCAGAGAGACTGCTTTGTTTGCTAAACTCATATGTTGTGCGCGGGGCTTGCCCGTGCTGAGGGCATGCGAGACACTTTACCAAATGATGAGGAAGGAAACTTACCAGCCCTTTTTTTGCATCTGGAACTCCGGCAGGCTCTGCCAGACGCGCTAAACCCTAAGCCCTCTCAACTTGCCAAACTGTGACACAAGGCAAGCTTCACCTTGTCAGCCCCTGGGCAAGCTACAGCCGCTAGAAAGGGTTCATATAAGGAACATATAGGGGTTATATGGGGTTATATGATGCACGGTTTTTATTT